ATTGCAGCTTTAGAGAATGGGCAGGAGTTTCTAGAAACTCAGAGAAGGGCTTAAAACTTACTTTGAATAAAGCTAAGTTAGAAGGTACGTTAGATTGCTCTGATGAATTCTTTTCTTTATTGCCTTAAATGAGAATAGTTCACTATTTTTTATTCATCATTCTTCTGTCTGCTTTATCATTGTTCTAATACAAAAAATACCAATAAATGCTCTATCTAAAAAATATTTTTTTTCATTTTTCTTTTGCACCACACTGAGCTTGTAAAAGGTAACAGAGTGGGTTATGTAATCTTAATAGTTTCTCTAAAAAGCCCATACTATGTAATTCACAGATTCATCCAGCAGGTGGCAGTAGTGACCAATAAGAAAAGCCTGATGCTCTGCCTCTCAGCTTTTCACTGTCCTGTGGATGCTTCCTGCATCTAATCTGATGCTTATGAAAACGATTTCCTTCTTACAAAAACACCAGGCCTAAACAGAAACTAACCTCATCCTGCAGATAAAGAGTGTTTGTGCCTTACAAGTTGTCAAAGTATCCCAGCTATAGCCAGACCTTCAATAAATATTTTTCCAGCAGCAAAATGCAGCTGCACATTTTATGCAGCAGAGTGGGCACACCCCCCCCCCACAGGAAAGCCCCACAGTTTATGAGACAGGCCCTCAGGGTTGTGGGAAGGGATATAAAGGAGAAGGACCCAGCCAAGATGCTAGACTGGCCACAGCTCCCGGAAGGCTGAGCACACTGAAGGACTGTGCAGGAAATAACAAGAAACTGAACAACTGTTGAGGTAAGAGCTGTTCCCGAGTCCTGAGTCACTCCAACCAAGTGTTTTCCCACCAGCAACACCCAGGTGCCTTTCTCGTGTAAACACAGGTCTCTCTTCCTGAGAGAGGTTTAATTAAAATGGTATTATTGCCACCTTTTAAGCTATAGAACTGGTGTGCCTGCTCAGACAATGAAGGATAGGTTTTGGGAAGCCACTTAAGAAGTCGAGACCTGTCCCTGTGGACAATGAGCACCATTCAGAGGCTTTAAGCAGGGCTGTAAGATGACTAAAGTTAGAAGTGGCGATGAAAAGAAGACAGTAGGAAGGCCTCAAGTTAAACAGGTTTTCTGTTCCTGAATCTCAGCATCCAGCCATCGTCATTGCATTCCTGATAACGTACTTTGAAGAATGCTGAAGAAATGTCTGGCAATCTGCTCTTAGTTTTCTTTCTCTACTGCATCTTTGGAGGGGCGGCAGCCCCCTTTCCATATAGCCCTCAGGGAGACAAATGATGGCAGAAGAGCTGGTGGGCTGTAGCATCGGAGGGACGCAGCATCAGGATTTGGAAAAGTAGCGTAAGCTCTCAAACCTGTTTTCTTGTGTGTTACATAGGGAACTAGTAGTTGGAGCAGGGATTGGAGTGAGGATGAAGTGAGATCACGTATATATGTCTTTAGGACAGAGCTTGAGCTATAGTAAGCATTTGATAAACAGTAGTTATCATTGACAGAGACTTCACCTGAAAGTGGTCATGAACTAGAGCTAACCACCAGCAGATGCTAAGCCAGCCAGAGGCTCATCAAACCCACCAATCTGTAAAGACCCTGCGCAGGCACCCTCACACACAGGCATAGAGTCCCTCCTCCATCTTACACACACCCACCAGGTCTGCTTAGTCACTTCTCCGCTTTAGCCAAGATGCCCTGGAGACTTTCCTTTCCATCTATATGAAAGTATTTCCATAGGGCCTACCCTGCGGTTTAGGCCCCTCACATTCTGCACCCCTGGGGTGGTCCTGATTCTGGCCCACCCTCCAGGGCTTACCCGATCAGGCTTCTCCTTTCACTGTGGCCAGAGAAAATCACCTACTGATTTGATAAGACCAACTAGAAATATTTGATTATATGGCATCAGAAACCTGGAGACCAAGCCAAGGCTCTGGCACATATTTGAACTGCAGGGGAGGGAACGTGTTCTGCCAAATTTAGAAAGAAGGTGGGAACTCGCAGAAGTCACACAATGAAAAGCCACTGCCCAGAAATACCAATTTCACACCTGTTAACCCTGAGCATGAGCTTGCCACCGGCCCTCGGTATCTTTTGCAGGTGAACTAGGTATGCCACTTACCATTGTTGTGGGGCCCAGGTGTGCTGACTGTTTATACTGGCAGACCCATGAGAACTTGCATTGTTTGCCAGAGCCCCCTTGGAGCTTAGCAGTGGCCAGATTTGTTCCAAATGCCTCCGGTGCCAAACAAGGCAGGCCCATCATGGGTCACACTTCTGTGTGGAAGCTCTAAGAAGGGGTCCTATAGGAGGAGGGGGTTAGCTGCCAGGCACAAACTCTTCTAATGTAACTGGGTTCGTTTAACAAAACCTGTGCAGGCCCCCACTGACTGTGCTCCAAACGCTGGTTTGAAAGGGGATTTGGAATGTGCTTTCCCATCAAAACAATGAGGCTCGGGGCAGTGCATTTACAGGACTCCCTAAAAGCCAATCAAACTTGCTCTAGGCCTCATGAGAAAGGGAGCCAGGGAAACCCGATAAGTTTCGGGGGACTGAATCAAGTTCAGAGTGGCAGGAGAATTGATGCAGAGGAACAGGAAACAGAGCGAGACGCAGTGGAATATGCACAGAGAAGATGATGAAGGATTTTGGAAGCTACTTTAGGAGTTTGGACCTTACCCTGAGGACAGTGGGGTGCCATCAAAAGGTTTTAAGCAGGGGAGACACCTGATCAGAAAGGCTGAAACCCTTCTGCCCCTCAAGGTATTGGGACAGTGGGAACAAACTCTGGCCCCAGACCTGGAGCCCCAGAGGCTCCTGGCCAGCAGGGAGGAGCGTTCACATGAGAAGAGGGACCTGGGCTCCCGGCCATGGTAGGCAGGCAGGGGGACCCCAAAGACCTCGGCTTCAGTGTTGGGGAGGGAGAGGAGTTGCTTGTTCAGAAGGCCAACAGGGCACCAGATCCCAGCTCTGGAAGCTCAGTTAGGTGGGAGCTATGTTTAATGCAGGTGCACCCAGGTTGGGGGATGTCTGCATTCTACTTTCTTGGAAAGGCAATTTCCTCCAAGCCTAGAAGCTGCTATCAGCCCAGACATAATGACTTCATAGCAGTGCCAGTACTGAAAAAATGGTGCGAAATGAAAAGAATGGATCTATTTAATGTGAGGCATTTGTTATCTGTAAAAGTGTGACAAAACCACAAAGTCCATTGCCCTTCAGGCCTGAATATATTGATTTCTCTTTCTGCTCAGATATGAACTGCATGAAACTTGAGGCTTGTGGAAGGTAATTTAGGGTTGCAATATTTTTATAATAGTGTTTTTCTAAAAGCAGAGATAGTGAAAATAAACACACCTGCAGCACCAATGGTAAGGTTAAATTTTTCTATTTAAATACATTAATAAATGAATCCATGGGGCACAAGCAAGGGAACTCAAGGACACACACAGCCCTCATCATGAGTCGGTCAATGCAGAAGCAGAAAGGTAAGGATTTGGAACGGAAATGCTTCCATCCAAGCCACTCCAACTTGGCACAGCTGAGTCTTTGTTCTCCAGAATGCACATTTTATAATACAAGCTTTTTAATTTTGCCCTCCTTTTTATTTTATTTTGCTTTAGACAAATGCCAGGATTAAGAAAAACGTAACCAAAAATATACCCAGAAACACAGCCTTACAATATTGGAACTTCCCCTCCCAAGAGCAAGAGCGTTTCCTAGCTAAATTTTGAAAACATTGGCAGGCTTCCATAGGATTTTGAAAATAGTTTAGTGGCAAGATGACTCACATATTTTTCCACAAATACATTAGAAACAGATTGATGACTATTGAAGCATAAAACATAAATACTACCATATTTCAAGGAATCTAAAACTCCATAGTGCTATTTAATGAAGCTCTAAGAATGGAAAAACGCTGCTATCTAACCATGTGTGTCACAATGCTTTTTTAGAATTTTTCTTTTAAACATATTAAAAGAGCTTTTTTAGACCTATTTGGACATAAAATTTTTAAATCATATATCGCTCTTCTGCATACACAAAAAAGGAATATAAGCTAAATAAATTGGTTAGGGCATGCCTAAAACTGTTTCACATTCAGAATGTACTTCTTGGAATCACTCTTTGATGCAGGATCTTTGAAATCCATATTTTCCCTGATATCATTGTCCTATGAGCCATCAAGAGCCTTCAGGAACATTCTGGTAAGGCCACATTTTCTGTAAAAGTGCTCCACAATTATCTTGGAGATTTTCTTCCAAGCCCCTGACACCCATTTCTCATTCTCTAAGCTTTGATTCTCACACAGTGGTAGTGACAACTATGACACACAACCGTTTAGCTGACAGCAAGTATAAGACATGGAGATTTCAGAATGGTAAGAGCATGAGAAAGTGTTCCTCCTAGAATCATTGAAATGGGGTGCAATGGTCTGAATGTTTGTGTCCCCCAGAAAATTCTTACATTGAAATCCTAACTCCCAATGTGATGGTTTTCGGAGGTGGGACCTTTGGGAGGTAGGGTTAGGTCATTCGGGTGGAGGGCTCATGAAGGGGATTGGTGCCCTATAAAAAAGACCCCCGAGAGCGCCCTCACCCTCCCTCTGCCGTGTGAAGACACAGCAAGAAGTCTGAGACCCGAAAGAGGGCTCCCGCCTGATCCTGCTGGCACCCCTATCTCGGACTTCCAGCCTCCAGGCCTGCGAGAAATACATTTCTGTTGTTTATGAGCGACCGGGTCTGTGGTACTTGATTAATGTAGCCTGAGCTGAGACCTCGGGCCACTCAGACTTAACATGTACTTTCCTTGTCTCCCGTTTCCACTTCCTCCCACCCAGGTATTGATTGTGTGTGTGTGTGTGTGTGTGTGTGTGTGTGCGTGCGTGTGTGTGT